TTTCCTCAGGAAAAAAGGGTTTCTTGTGGAAGTTTTCCACAGAGATTTTGGGTTAGATTACAGCTTCCGCCGCGTCGGGGTACAGTTGCTGGTATTCAAGTTTAAACATTAGATTTCAAGGACTAAAGGTCCGTTTTTTTGGTTCTTGTGAGAACGGGTGAGTAACCCGATTCTCACGGAAGGATCCAAGGACAAGTTTCGGCAAATTGCCGAAACTCGTCTCTGTTTATGATTTTTAAATTCTAAAGGCGCCGTTTCGCATTTTCTCTTTGAAGATTAAGTTCAAACATTGAGAGGAGTGACATGAAAAATTACTTTCCATCAGCTCGAGGCTGGTGATTAAATTTGATATGCTTGGTTCTGCAGAAGTGCCTCCGAAAATTCGCGACACCTTCAACCTTTGTCAACTGTCCTTATCTGGATGGGCTCTTGGAGAGCACCCAGAATGTTTTGTTTGGCCTGTTCATGAAAATGAGGGGCAAATTGACCAGTTTACAAAGACAAAGGAAAGTGGAAGTGATGTTCACATAGGCAAATGTATGAATTATATTTTTGGATACTGCAACACTGAAATTTTTCTTGTGATTTCTGGTATCAATGATATTTTCAATTTTGAAAATGGAAACCAAGATGGAAGCAGTGAATATCTGATTTTTCAAAAAGACTTGTTATTTCTTCCACATCAGTCCATGAGGGAGAGCACAAAAAGTGAGTATGAAAGATAAATATTGAAAAGTGACATACTCTCTCAGTTTAAAACATATGCTTGTAAATTTCAGCTCCTGCATTCTTTCCCATCATGATCAAGTTTGCGATGAGGAATGGGGTTGAAAAATTAAAGGAAATCTTTACAAAATTGCCTATCAACAAATGATCATCACATATGTGTATTGATAAATGTGAGAGGTCCTCAGACCCCAACACAAAGATTAGGTTCATAGTGAAATAAACTATAAAAGCACAATAGGCCGTTCGCGGCCTGAGGGTTCCAAACTCCTCAACTTCTGTTTATAGATAAATGTCCAAGTCCACAAATATTTCCAATCAAATAAGTCACACACAATATGCAGGTCTGTTCTCTCAAAAGTCCAGAGCAGGATTGATTGATTCTGCTGATCATTCTTCACATGTCCAGGTCCTCCCCAGTGGAAAGCTTCTCTGAAGTTTTCACTGGGGTGTGACTAATTTTCTGTTTGTAAAATTCCTTGTAATTTCTTTCATGGAGTGATGATTCACTAGGTGGAATATTTTTCCTGAAGATCAATATCTTCAGGTTTCATAATAATTCTAATATAATTTATGTTTTGAATTGTTTGGAATTTTCTCAATTTTTCCTTTCTTGTACAACGTAGCGTTTCCTATGCTGCGTTGCATTTTTTGTCCCTTGCTGTCCCTGCGCTGCGGTTGACATCTAGTCAACCGGCAACAATAAAAATAAACATTTTATTGATCCTATGATGATTTATAAAAAAAACTCAGCAGTTATGAAAATTCTTTCACATGAGTGATGATCAATTCAACATTGCTCACCAAATGGAATCCTGCTCATTTTACAATTACATATTGTTCACAACTTTCACATAGCATCCCAAATGATTCAATTGAAATGATCATTTAAACCTTGCATATTACCTGTAATGTTCAATCAAAAATTGGTGTAAATCAGCAATGCAAGAATGTGCGCAGCAATCATGAATTCATTTTCAATGACAAGTAATGAAAACAATCTTTTTCACAATCCAACACATTTTTATGTTTTCATAATTTGTTTATATTATAATTTTGAAAATTTTTTTAGTTTCTCATATTCTGAATTTTTGATCACACAATTTATAATTATCAATTCATATAAGTATACAAGAATAACCTATAAGTGAATTTAGCTGTGAAATATGGCCAGTTTTTTCCATATTGTGATTTTCCACAAAGACAAAGTTTGATTGGCTTTACTATTGAAAGTATTTCTTTTTCAAATTTTTTTCAAGGTAGGAGCAAAATTTAAGATTTTTCGAAGAATGAACAATATTTTTCAGGCAGAACTTGATTCAGCAGTGAAAGAAAGTTTGATTACTTTTTTTCAAACAAAAAAAACTAACCTTGTGTACATTTGGGGTGGTTCAACAAAGAAAATGAAGACAAGTAAAAAATCAAAAAGATAACAATCACATAATTGTTTATTTACTGGTCTGCAATTGTGGAGTGCAGTTATGCTATCTCCAATACAATCTATCTCTTTGGTTAGCATTGGGAAAATGTGTTCATTGTTTCTTTAAAACCAGCTGAAATCCAGTTTATCATCATAATTACTCAAATTAAAAATAATTAATTGAACATACATCCAAATGCAAAGAAAAAATCTAAGTGATTATTTCACCATGTCTCTATATACAAAATAAAAACGCATCATAGCTTATATATGAGCAATGTTCAAATTGATTATCTCAAATGGGTAACATATATATGTTTATCAAAATATATTTACTTTATTTAGTATAAATACTGAATTTCTTTGATATGGACTTGTGCATTAATTTATATACTGTACTTTCTCTGCTGTGATTTAGTAACCGCCACCGTCCGCCATACTGTCCCGCGTGACAGGAAGCCATCGTGTATTCGATCGTTTTGTACCTTTGTTTTGTATTGCCCAATCAGGGCCCACTTGACGCGCGTCGCGCGCAACCGTTGACTAAGAGGTCCTGTGCAGCCGCATTCAATCATTGACCTCCGTTTGGATAGGACCAGTGTGAATATATTGAACTTGCAACCCGACTGAATTACAAACTGTGTTCAAAGCATCAAGTAGTGTGTTTCTATTCCTGCAGGATTATCTGATCTCTGTGGTGACTTAGATAGTGAGTCAACAAAAGTCTTACTGGGGGCTCAGCCAAACGTGATTGCACCATGGCCAACAAGTGGAACGAAACAACACACAAAAGGGAATCCCCCACAGGTACCCCAGGATCCCCCCAGGCGCCCGCCCTGTTGCTGAATCCAGCAGCAAACCCCTGGAACAATGTGATGCTAACCGCGATTTGCGCGTACTGTGCAACCCATCGCATCCCCAGATCTGCGCAGGACAACCAAGAAGATCTCGTGGTGGCCCTACAAGCACGGGGTGTCATGCCATACCACGTCATCATGAATACACTGCCAGACCTGCAAGCCGGCCCTTCCGCACAACACATCGCGGACCAACTACTACGCCGACGCGTACCGGACTACCCGAAGCAATCTGTGAACAAAGACATCAAGGTGTACCTGCGGCGGCTCGCAATTGTGTTCCATCACGCCAATACATCAAACTTCACCAAAATCGACTGCCTGATTGGGCACTTGCAACCAAAAGTTGCAGAAGCGGCGCAAGTGCTCTACGAACAGGGCTA